CGAAGGAATACTTCTAAATTATTTCTTTATGAACTTAAAATTTTGAAAACACGTTTTCCATAGTTTTTCAATGCAGCGAATCCGCTAATACATGCTGCTAAATTAGATCACCCCATTAAGAAAAGTTTTCTGTGAAATAAGGGGTGGACGTATACTACTGAAACGCACTGTATGGCGCAGTGTTCCTAGATTGGTGGGACAATCTGGCGTAATTGCGTCCAGGTGATGGTAACCTCCAAGTCATTTTAGCGTGGGAGGAACTCCAGAGCATATGATCGACCGGATTACCATTCCTGCGTTTCAAGGCCTTTGCCCAGAATCAACCATGGGTTAGCGTAGCTCCCACGCATAACCAGAAATGCCCTTGCGTCTTTTTAGGTTCGCCACACTACGAGCCTCTTGACTGACCCTCGAATGGCCGGAAAAAATGTGCAGAGCGGTGAACCTGCTTCCCTGAATTAAGAATAGACAAAGAGCAAATACATCTGAGAGAAACCCTACGTTCTACAGTGCATGAGAGCGACGCCGTATGCGACGTTCGCCGCGTGGTGGATCTACTGACTAACGCCTTAGTCGATCACTGAATGCCACCAGCACATCGTAGGATTTCTATTGGCTTTCTCCAAAGATCTGATGCTCTTCCGTTAGAGAATTTCTATGTATTACTATACAAAGAAACACGGTCCTAATAATTTCGTGCATATGAATAAATTTGCAATACAAAATGTCTGTTCATGGGGCTTTTTCAGGAGTGTTCAGCGGTGAAGCAGTGGCTGGTGGAGGGACATAATTTCCATGATTGAAACGCGCCCGGATCAGTCAAGCCATCTGTCGCTTTGAGGTGAATGGCATCTGAATACCACTGGAAGACAGAAGGATCGTCCGACTACACTACCATTTCGCACGTGCCCTAAGAGGGAAGCGAAATTAGAAGAATTACCTCCAACCGTGCTTTTCAGTAGGAAGGGAGCAGGGTAAAGCTAGGCGTCGAGCAAAATTTTGAAATGCGATCCCCTCACCTGCCACCAACTGCCAAGTCCATGAAACGACTGTCCTCACAAGCCAAAGTTAATTAGCCTCTCCGAAAACCTCCATCAGAGAAAAATCTCTGCAACCCCGCTTTCCATTTTAAGTCGTTC